GTTCATGTTTATCCCTATCCTGATACCAGAGTTCATGTTTATCCCTATCCTGATACCAGGGTTCATGTTTATCCCTATCCAGATACCAGGGTTCATGTTCATCCCTATCCAGATACCAGGGTTCATGTTTATTCCTTTCCTGATACCAGGGTTCATGTTTATCCCTATCCTGATACCAGGGTTCATGTTCATCCCTATCCTGATACCAGGGTTCATGTTCATCCCTATCCTGATACCAGGGTTCATGTTTATCCCTAACCTGATACCAGAGTTCGTGTTTTTTCCTATCCTGATACCAGGGTTCATGTTTATTCTTATCCTGATACCAGAGTTAATGTTTATTCCTATCCTGATACCAGGGTTCATGTTTATCCCTATCCTGATACCAGGGTTCATGTTTATTCCTTTCCTGATAACAGGGTTCATGTTTATCCCTATCCTGATACCAGGATTCATATTCGTCCCTTTCCTGATACCAGGGTTCATATTCATTCCTATCCTGATACCAGGATTCCTGTTCATCCCTATCCTGATACCAGGGTTCATGTTTATCCCTATCCTGATACCAGGGTTCATGTTTATCCCTATCCAGATACCAGGGTTCATGTTCATCCCTATCCAGATACCAGGGTTCATGTTTATTCCTATCCTGATACCAGAGTTCATGTTTCTCCCTATCCTGATATCAGAGTTCATGTTTATCCCTATCCTGATACCAGGGTTCATGTTTATTCCTATCCTGATACCAGGGTTCATGTTCATCCCAATCCTGATACCAGGGTTCATGTTTATTCCTACCCTGATACCAGAGTTCGTGTTTATCCCTATCCTGATACCAGGGTTCATGTTTATTCATATCCTGATACCAGGGTTCATGTTTATCCCTATCCTGATACCAGAGTTCATGTTCATCCCTATCAAGATACGAGAGTTCATGTTTATTCCTAGCCTGATACCAGGGTTCATGTTTATCCCTATCCTGATACCAGAGTTCATGTTTATCCCTATCCTGATACCAGGGTTCATGTTTATCCCTATCCAGATACCAGGGTTCATGTTCATCCCTATCCAGATACCAGGGTTCATGTTTATTCCTATCCTGATACCAGAGTTCATGTTTATCCCTATCCTGATACCAGAGTTCATGTTTATCCCTATCCTGATACCAGGGTTCATGTTTATTCCTATCCTGACCTGATACCAGGGTTCATGTTCATCCCAATCCTGATACCAGGGTTCATGTTTATCCCTACCCTGATACCAGAGTTCGTGTTTATCCCTATCCTGATACCAGGGTTCATGTTTATCCCTATCCTGATACCAGGGTTCATATTCGTCCCTTTCCTGATACCAGGGTTCATATTCATTCCTATCCTGATACCAGGATTCCTGTTCATCCCTATCCTGATACCAGGGTTTATATTTATCCCTATCCGGATACCTGGGTTCATGTTCATCCCTATTCTGTTACCAGGCTTCATGTTTAATCCTATCCTGATACCAGGATTCATGTTTAACCCTATCCTGATACCAGGGTTCATGTTAATCCCTATCCTGATACCAGGGTTCATGTTTATCCCTATCCTGAATCCAGGGTTCATATTCAACCCTATCCTGATACCAGGGTTCATTTTTATCCCTATCCTGAAACCAGGGTTCATATTTAACCCTATCCTGATACCAGGGTTCATGTTTATCCCTATACTGTTACCAGGGTTCATGTTTATCCCTATCCTGAAACCAGGATTCAAGTTCAACCCTATCCTGATAACAGGGTTCATGTTCATCCATATCCTGATACCAGAGTTCATGCTCATGCTTATCCTGAACCTAGGGTTCATGTTCATCCCTATCCTGATACCAGGATTCCTGTTCATCCTTATCCAGATACAGGGTGTCCCAAAAAACATGGGAATTCAGTGACGAATTCGATATCGTCTTTTCAAATAATTCTTTGATTTAGTTTTGTGATACCTACTGAGAAAGCTGTAATCTGTAAGAGTTTCGTCTGCTATGTTTACATTTTGTTTGTTTATGTTTTGACTGCATACAGTTGTACTTAGTAAAACAAGAAAATTGCAGTATGCAAACAGAGTAAACTTGTCTGTCTTCACTGTTCATCTTGCGGAGACATTATAGACACATCTTTACAGTCTTTTACCCTTTTCATAAAATAAGCTCTAGCAGACATAATAATATTATGGCTTTTGAAATTAGGTATTACAATGCTAATTCATAACAAAGACGATAACAAATTCGTCACTGAATTCCCATGTTTTTTTGGGACACCCTGTACCAAGGTTCATGTTCATCCCTATCCTAATACCAGGATTCATGTTCATCTCTATCCAGTTACAAGGATTTTTTTTCATCCCTATCCTGATACCAGGGTTCATGCTCATCTCTATCCTGATACCAGGGTTCATGTTCTTTCCTATCCTGATACCAGGGTTCATGCTCATCTTTATCCTGATACCAGGGTTCATGCTCATCTCTATCCTGATACCAGGGTTCATGTTCATCCCTATCCTGATGCCAGGGTTCATGTTCATCCCTTTCATGATACCAGGGTTCATGTTTATTGCTATCCTGATACCAGGACTCATCAAAGTTCAAATAAAAATTTAGATTACAGGGTATCTCAATAATATCGACTTTAACAAGCTTTGTCTTTCAATCACAATTACACATTTTACGCCTTTTCTTTACAATAAAACAATTCCGTAAGTTTAAAGATTGTTGAATTATAAACCAAAACGCGATTATATTTAAATTGTAAAACATTCTTGGTTTTCATAAATCGTGGTCAGCCATTTTTTACCATTGATTTCACATGTTTAATGAGATTCCAATAAATAGTATTAAATAGTGTTGAATGGTATTAAATGTATGCAAAGTATATGCATGTGTTAGAGTATCACGCTTCAACGAATTGGCAAATTGGCTATCTGCCACCCAGTTTTATTTTATTTTTATATTTTCTCATCTTTGTTTATTTGCTGGAGAAAGAGAAAAAATACTTGGCCGAGTTCTAATTTGTCCAGGTTTCTTCTTTATTTATCTCTTTATCTATTTATTATTAAATTTTATCTGTTTATTTTTATCTATTTACCTCTGTATTATTATCTGTTTATTATTATCTTTTTATCGTTGTATTGGTAAACCTATTATATATCCCTCTTATATACATTTATGTTCCCTGTAATGGGATATACAGGATGTTCCACTTCTACCACTAAACTCGAAGACGACAAAAAGTGGTTTTTATACAATTTGCAAGTAAACATCCATTTATAAAGTTCCATTTTCGATTCCAAACAGTACCCTTTGAAGCTTTGTATGATCGAGAATGAAAAATATCTTTATGTGGAAAATTGATGATTCTTGGTAGATTAACGACTAATCGGTTAAAGACTGATTATTTAAAGTAGATATTCAGGGACTAATGGGTTAAAGACTGATTATTTAAAGTAGATATTCAGGGACTAATGGGTTAAAGACTGATTATTTAAAGTAGATCTTCAGGGACTAATGGGTTAAAGACTGATTATTTAAAGTAGATATTCAGGGACTAATGGGTTAAAGACTGATTATTTAAAGTAGATCTTCAGGGACTAATGGGTTAAAGACTGATTATCTAAAGTAGATCTTTAGGGACTAATGGGTTAAAGACTGATTATTTAAAGTAGATCTTCAGGGACTAATGGGTTAAAGACTGATTATTTAAAGTAGATATTTAGGGACTAATGGATTAAAGACTGATTATTTAAAGTAGATTTTAGGGACTAATGGGTTAAAGACTGATTATTTAAAGTAGATCTTTAGGGACTAATGGGTTAAAGACTGATTATCTAAAGTAGATCTTAATGTGATCGGGGGTAAAAGACACAAAAGCGGAACATCAATGATCAAGAATAAACAAAAAAGACAACAAAGAGTTCACCATATATCTAAAAAAAGGAAAAAAAACAATCAAATGTGTTAAGGACTGATAGTTCAGGGAAAATCTTTATGTTTAGGTCCCTTTTAAACATTTTTGTCAAATACTTTTTGGAAAAAAAAACGATTGATTATAAAGGGAGTAACTTAAAACTTCAGAATTTTATTATGGTTTGTCCAATATAACCTCTTTAAATGTTATGTGTGATCCCTTTAAATGATACAATCAGTTTGGTATTGGTTACTCTCGTATTTTTCATCCATGAGTATTGTTATTTTTAGGCTGAAATAGAAGGGAGATAACTGACGCGGTTCGCTCTACCAAATGATTATACATGCTTTGCAGACGGTACTCCATTTGTATAAGAAATATTCAGAATAGGTCATTGTATAGGCGGTGATTGTACATTAGACAAATATTTCTTATTCAAATGGAGTACCGTCTGCAAAGCATATATAATCATATGTTACGGCGAACCGCGTCAGTTATATCTCCCTTCTATTCCTTACTCCCTGGTTAGAACTGACGAGGGTCAGCTCAGAAATATATTTTCAATAAAATGTGAAACTAACATCTATACTTAATTAACACTTTGGTTACTTTGGTCCATCATCATCACAAAATTTAAAAAATATTTTTTTTCAAAAAAATACCAACACGCAGGAAACATTATTCATTTAAACCTTTAAACATTTAGGGGGGGGGGGCGGGTAAGAAATAGAACCCGCTTGCTACATGAACACAACTTGACATAGAGTTTGAAGATTTGACAGAAACTATCGATCATTTTTTTCAAATTTTTTTCTTAGAAAAGTAAACATTTCCTTTAATAAACTACTTTGTTTGTTTACCAATTCATCAAGTATATAAGAAGCAGGGTAGAGTAGGGGGCACTATTATTATAAAGAGACAGTATACGATTAGTTGAATACAACAATAATTACAATATTAATATAAACTATACATCAAAATGCATATCATGTACTTTTAGTCGCTATTTTCATTAAAAAAACATTAATAGATTATATAAATGATTAATAACGTATAATGTTAATGTGTATAATAGTTATGACAGATTAATAAATCACAACAATTAACTAAACACATTTTATATTAATTAAAAGTCTGAATGCTACGAAAGATGTTTTTGTAAAAAACGTTTATTTGAATTTTTTCAGGGCAAATCTGTCCATAAACCTTCCCTGGGGTATGTAAACTGCCATAAAAATGAGGGCCCAATCGGTCTAGCCGTTTATTGGATACAGACAAACAGACAAATTATAGTTTATTAAGCCAATTAAAACATTCTAAATTGTAAAAATTGAAATCGACTTGGATTAAATGTGTAAATATATAAAGATAAACATTTTTGGTACAAAAAAATATCTTTTTACAAAAGTTAATACAACCAGGTTTTCATGATAATTAATCTGAAAACTTGAGACAGGTTCCCCCCGGTCAAATAACTATACAGTATACACTATATACACGTCTTTAATACACGGGACATTTTAAACCTGACTCTATTATTAAATTTGTTTATCGAAACTAAAAATGTTAATCAATAGTATTGATTTATCTTGAGGCCTAAAGGGACTGTAAAGGGAATTTCAAGTGTCAGTGCCACACATGCCAATGGCCGATTCACAACAGTATCCTTAACAGCTTTGTCTAAAGATTTAAATATAAATATTTTAATTTTAATCTAGTTTTTTCAATTGTGTTTTTTACAAAAGTGACTTGCGCATTGCTACTGCAGAAAACATAAGGGAATTATCTGATTTAATACTTTAAACCTAGAAAACATAAGGGAATTATCAGATTCAATACTTTAAACCTAGAAAACATAAGGGAATTATCAGATTCAATACTTTAAACCTAGAATAACGACAATAACTTAAATATT